AGTTACTAAAATACATTTTTTTTTAATTTTACTATTATTTGAAATTAAAAAAAAATGTAAAAGAAGCTTTATCTTTTTACTTTCTTATTTGGGTCTATAATGAAAATTTAAAAAATACGTTTTGTAGACCTCAGTAACTTATATACATGCTGAAAATTTCATTGAAATCGGTTGACGCATATTCATGCTACAGTCTCTGAAGTGTAAAAATTTCCTGGTTTTAGTTCAAATTCGTCAAAAACTACAATTTTCACGAATTTTAAATTTTAACTGTTCATATCAACGTCAATCGATTTTAATGAGATTTTCAACATGTTTAAAAGTTGTCGATAAGTACAAAGTGCAAATTTTTAAATGTTCATTATCGGCTCAAATAAGAAAATGGTCATTATTCAGTGAATTAGTCCCTTTACAAAATTTACAAAAAAATTCAAGTTATTTAGAGCACTTTAAAAAATATTATATCATTTTGAAAGGTGTGTAGAGACTTTTATATATATACTTATATATATATGTGTATACATGTATGTATATATATATGTATTATATTATATATATATATATATTTATATGTTTAAAACTACCGACACAAATTCTGGAATATATTTTGTAAAGCCCCATGGACGGATCGTTCGTACTACCATAAAGTAGCATGGTTCGGACGAGTGTGAGTGTTGGCAAAGGTATCTTGATAAAGGCACGACTTTTTTCACATTCCAAAATCATTCCTGGAACCTCGACTACTTCAATCTCAATATAAATATTAAATATTAATATAAATAAAAATAAACAACAATACATTTTATATTGTTAAATAAAACTTTGTTTCGTTTAAATTATCCAAAAAATATTTCTCTCTGTTCATAATTTTCTTCCTACTCTCTCATTTCTTATATTAACATTTTTCTACACTTACTAAAATGAATCTTTAAATAATCGAGGTTCTAGACTCTTAAGAAAAAATGTCACCCCTTTTACAATTACTGATGACTTTTGCTTAATAAATGCGAATTAAATTGATATAAGTTACAACACTGTTCACCACAAATATTGCACTTCCAAGGATTGCTTTCACTATGACAACCCTTATGAAGGAAATACAACGTTTGATCAGGAAAAGTAATTCTACAATGAGCGCATTGAAGTCCACTGGTTCGTTGATCCGGCCTCGTCGAACTGGGCGGTTCTCCTCTTGAATGGGGATTTGTATTCGAGCTACTATTACCTAAGTAAAATTAATATAGGTATAATTTTCTCTAGGTCAGTTGTACAAAACAAAAGTTATCTCAAATGTATTATCAGAACATCAAGTACACCTAGATCGAATGTAAAACTAGTCATGACAGTATGAACTGTGTTATAAATACAAATTGTTCACAGATATTCTATCAAATTTTATATAAAAAATAATTAAATTTACCATTGTTGTTGTTATTGTTGTTATTGTTATTTCCAGAACCAGATGAAAGCTTGCGTCGTAAATCATCTCGAAGAAGAGACTTCAATGGTGAAACTTTGATCAATGATGGTAATGGAAGATTACTAGATGTTGCTCCATTCTCCTCTGTTCCATTGCTGTTTGGTTCTTGCTTAATAGGAATAAGTGAAATTGAAGGTGTGATTGCTTCTTCACTTCCTCCAAGATTCCTTTATTCACAAAATAAGTTACAGTTAAATTCAAAATAAATCAAACTTCAGGGCACGTAAATAATTGGAACTGCAAATAATTGAAAATGCACATTGCAATCCTTATTACATGGAGTGCCCAGAAAACCAATAACCTCCAGTAAAAACCAAACTAATCCCTCCAATTATCTGGATATATTCAATTAAATTTATGATTCCTTTTCTCTATTTTATTTTTCCAAATTTTAAATATGCTTTGTCAAAAAATAACGCAATACGTACGCCATAATCACCGTAATTATACTATAGTTTGTTCAAGAACCCGTTTATATACATTAGACTTAAAATTAATTATAAAAATATGTTCTATACCTGTGAATACCACTACTGTTAATAGGTAATTGATGGTGACTACTACTTGGAGCATTACTGTTACTGTCTGCACTTTGAGGACTATTTGGACTATCTCCATTAAGTGGAGCAGGACTTGGATTCCGTTGATTTGCAGCTTGTTCAGGATAAGGTATTGATATCTCTATATGAGGTGTTAAAAAATGCATCGGCGGAGTTGCATTGTCTGCAGATCGATTTCCAGTACTATCTCCACTATCTGAAAGGGGAGCTGAAGGCATAGCTTCGCCTGGAGCACAACTATTCATTAAAGAACTGGAACTGTTTGGACCTGGATTATCCAGGTCTATTCCATGCCTGAAATAATTATTACAAATATTTATTTAGTATTACTTATAACATATTTACATTAGCTATTTATGAAATTCATAATATTTATTATATAATAACTTAACTTAGAGAACTTACCTGTTAAAAAAATGTAACCTTAGACATTTCATAGTTGCTGCACGATAGTTACACAAAGGACAAGATTTTACCATATCATGTTGGCCAACATGTTCATTCTGAAAATGGGCCCTCATTGCAATTTGTCTTTGAAAACCTCGATTACAAATTGGACAATGATATGGCAAAGTCTTAGAGTGAGTTGTAAAATGTTCTGCCAAATGATCCTTACGAAAAAATCTTTTTTGACACACACGACACTCATATGGTTTCACACCAGTATGTCTCATCTACAAACATAATTTTTAATTATAACTTCATACATAACATTCATGATAATTTTTCAATACAATGGCATCCATGTAGTGGTATCGAATTCAGAAGTTTATTATAGTAACTATATAAAAAAGTAAAATTCCAGAAAGTACCAAACACTTTGTTTCTTCAATATGCCAGACTATGGATCAAAAAATTGAGCAAAAAGTGTTCGATGCAAACAAGGTAAGTATAGTTTATTTAACCATTATGGGTTCTTTTAAAAAACTGATATAATACTAAAATGGTAAATAAGCTAAGCACTAGTCTAAGAACAGCTGAGGGCAGAATGCAATATCTTAATGGGCACTATTGTATTTTAATTCATAATATAACTATGCGAGGTTCATACCTTATGTCGCCTCATATTGGCTCCATTGGAAAATTTCATGTTGCAAACATCACATTCAAACATTTTTCTATGAGAACGAATACCAGAATGAGATTCCTCTCCATCTCCATCATTTTCAACAGTTTCAATATTCTCTACACTCTCTCCTGTTTCAGCATTGGCCAAACACTGGTCCTGATGAGCGCATAATGCTGTCTTATTTATGGTTTCATAGTTTTCACACCTTTCACACCTGTCCACACGTTATGGATCCTTTGATACGCTATTTAAGACTTTGATTATCTCAACGTTTATTAAATTTGTCTAAATACAAAAAATTAAATACATGAAGGCAACGGACCTAAATGCAGGAACTGCACCATCACTGCTATCATAATTGGTGTTCAAAGCAGCTTCACTATCAGGATCCAAAGTTTCTTCGTCTCTTGGGGTTGAGGATTCTCCAACGTCGACATGCGAACAAGAATGGGAATCTACCTCATTTTCCCCGCCACCACCATCAACCCCATCTGACATGGTATCGAGCCCTCCAGACACTATGCAATTGGCCTTGCACCATTCGTTGTTGATTAACTATAACATAATAGAAATATCTTTGAAACACTAACATTGTCTGTAATTATAGACGATCTTCTTCCTCTTACATTGTTAACGTTTATTAACTTATACTTTTTCATGTGTGATACTGGAACCGTTTCTAACAACACATGCGATTTACATTAATTAATTGTTGCTTCATGAATAGTTAATAAAATAGCAAATAAATGATGAAATGTAAAAGGATCAAAATAAATCAAAGTAAATTAAATAATAGTATAAATTTTCTAAAAAATTTTGATGTTTACCTGTCAGTTTCGATCGAAGGCTCGAGGATGACGAGACGATTGGCTAATTCTACGAGAGTAAGGGAAGAGAGGGAGAAAGAGAGAGAGAGAGAAAGAGAAGAGGGGAAACCACTAGGACATGGAGTGAGAGAAATTCCGGTAAAGCGCAATGCCAGAGTACACTGCACTTTGTCCCAGTTTCAGGGGAATCCGTCACTGGTGACGTAGTTTTCCGCCGATTTGGTTAAATTTTTCACCGTATGCTTGACATTGTTTTACAAAGAGGAAGCTGAGGAGGTTCCTGTTTTGTTCTCTTGTTTAAATTATTCAGAATAGGTCATTTCCAGTTTTATATTATTTTAATTTGTTTTCACACAAAAATGCAAGATACACTTCTGTGAATCACTACACGCTGCTCTGTACTCTCTTCTAGAATAACATCGATTAATCGAAATTATCGATCTTACGACATTCGACTTCATAGTAATTTGCGACTTATCAAATCGGTATTGCTGGTCGATTTTTATATATATTATATCAAATTAGATTAAGTACAATATACTTCTCTTTAAAAAATGTATATTTGTACATACAAAATAATTAAATAAACAAACAAATACCTATTAGTACACTCAAAGCTTGTTGTTGGAATATATATAAGTTCAAAAAATCATTTAAATAAAATTTGATATTATAGTTTTGTGATACTGTAATTTTGAGCAAAATTTAAAGCATTCTAATGATACAAACAATATTAAGACCATCTTTTGTCTTGATATTATTAAGAAATAAATTGTAATAAAATTAATAAATTGTCTAACACATCTTCAAAAGATATTGTATGTATATAATTTGTATGGATACACAGCATACATGTAAGTATACAGTAAAAGTATTATGGAATGCTAATATTAACCCTGGTAAAAATTTAATGCATCTCCACATCTAGCAAATAAAAGATTAAGTAGTACGAGAACCATGCTTTGGTACCAAATACCGATCCATCTGTTTCTTCATATCACACATATTTGGCATCAAAATTTGGCCATACCACATCCAGTCCAAACCTTTGACAGTAGTGTCTTTAATACGGTGTAAGGGTAAGAAGTGGTCCGACCACAGACGAGGTACAGAATTGTACAGAATAAATAAATCATTTTATAGACTTCCAGGCCCATCATGACTGTCATACCGACGTAGAAATTGAGGATACGTACAGACTAGGGGCCCACGACTCTACAATCAATTTTTGGGGCACTATTTGACTGCCACCTACACCAACTGCAAACTTGGACATACTAAAATTCAATATGGCGGTTTAGAAGCGGTAATTCGAATTCTGGATTCTAGAATTTCTCTTCTACATCAGGAGACCGTGATATGCGAGGAGGTATTCGAAACTTCATTGGCTGGGTTGTGGTTGAGTTACACTACTTGCGCGGACACTTTTTTTAGAAAATGTCTGCCGAAATTTGGATTTTTGTATCAGGTGAACATGATATGCGAGGAGGTATCTCATTTTGTCAAAATTTCAGTAGTACAAGTCAATCACTCCTCGCATATTCTCCTGATACAATTGGTAAGTAGTTTAAGTCAAGGTGTATATTATTTCATGTGTGTGTGATTATGCAATAATGTATCCAAATTATGCAATGATTAGATAATGGAACGTTTGGATAGATAGACTAGAATATTGTAAACAGAAGTGTTCAGATAAGAAAGTCTCTACTGTACTTATATATGTATAATCCCCTCATTTCTTAATTATAATCTGTTTCATAGCAATTCTATACCTTCTAAT